GCTGCCCTGCTCCTTCCTCCCTGGAATCAGTGCTGGTGGCTGTGGCTGGACTGGAGACACAGCCCAGGCCTTAGGGTCTGCTGTCCTCTGCCCTGCAGGCTCCCTTTACCCCGTCCCCAGTAAGGCCATAAAAGGAGCAGAACAGCAGCTGCCTCCATTCCTGCAGTGTCGGGCRGGCTGAGGACTCCTCCCGCAGCTCCCGGTGCTCCTGGCTGGCAGTGGGGCTCCCCTGGCACCAGAACCTCTCACTGAGCTGAGAAATGCCCCATCCCACTGGCACCCTGAGCTGTGCTGGAGGAAAGGAATGTTTTAACAGTAAAGAAAGCAGAGAGGAGGAGCTGCTCCCCACTCCCTTCTGCAGTGTGACACCCGCGTGTGCTCCAGAGCAGCCTCAGGGCTGGCAGAGCTTTACGGGGTGGAGCGATGTCCTCGCTGCAGCACTGTGCCAGGGGATGCTGCAAGGCACTGCTTCACCCCCCGGCCTCGGGGCACCCTGCAGGAGGGCTGGGAGCTGCTGCCTTGCGGGGCTGCCGGGCGGCTGTGTGGGCAGGGAGCCAGTGCTCTCCCACCCGTGAATGTGGCTACCTCGTGGCTTGCCGGCTCCTTTTGGGAAGCGGCACTGAGCAGAGGTTTGACCACAGTCCCCCTGAGGACACTATTTCCTTGCAGGGGTGTCCCCAGGGACAGCCCAGGCTGTTGGAATTGCTCTTTTCCTCCCTGGCCCAAAGCATCCAGCGGAGGCACCTCATGCTTCCCCCTGCCAGGATCTCGTGGAGAAGCTGCTGCAGCAGATGTCCCTGTCCCGCTGTGCCGGGGGTGGCAGGGCAGCCCCTCTGTAGCCTCATCAGCACATCCAGAGGTGGCTCCTGCTGGAGCAGTTTCTGAGGAGCCACCCCTGGGAAACCCTTGCAGCATATCCCAGGAGATCATGGGTCCTGGATGCATGTGAGCACCCTRTCCCAGGAGATCATGGGTCCTGGATGCATGTGAGCACCCTGTCCCAGGAGATCATGGGTCCTGGATGCATGTGAGCACCCTGTCCCAGGAGATCATGGGTCCTGGATGCATGTGAGCACCCTRTCCCMGGAGATCATGGGTCCTGGATGCATGTGAGCACCCCSGGGGCCGGAGAYAGGCTGCTGCCTCTGCCCTGTTCCCTGCCTGCCACTCCTCCTTTGTGCCACCCAGCCTGTCACACGCCCCGGCCCAGCAGGGAGTTCCTGCTGGGATAGAGAGCTGGAGGAGTGCAGGGGAGGGTGGAAGCAGGCAGGAGGGAGGAGGATGGGGCAGGGATGGGGTTGTCTGCCCTGGCAGCACCACCGTGTCGCTCAGGCCTGTCCCACCCTCCCCAGAATGGCCAGGAAGCAGCACCAGGATRGAGTTGCCAGCTTGGTTTTTACCAAGGAGGAAACACATGGCAGTTTGTATTCCTGATAACTATGGGTCCTTTCCTCTTTCTCTTTAAAACTAAGCTATTTATGAATTTATGAACTCTTTAAAAGTCAGCCCCGTGGTCCCTTGGGTCTGGCTCTTGGGTGGGGGAGGCACAAGCCTGGTGGGAGATCATTTTGCCTCCACTGCAGGAGGCTGGAAGGTTGTTTTGGCAGGAGCAATGGCAGAAGGACAAGGAACCAGGGTAGCTGGGGACAGGGTGACTTGGGGACAGATCAGTGTGTGGCCATCATGGGGTCATGCAGCACTGACCRCCTTGGCTCTGCTGCCTGGGATCTGCAGCCCCTGRGAGAGGCTGGGAGCAGGGCTGGGATGGGACGTTCAGTGGGGGTGCCAGAAGCAGGACTAGGATCTGTGGGATTCCCTCTTGCTGAGGAGGAAGCTGGAGGCTTTGTGGCTGCACCATTTGCCTGAGCTGATTCCCGCCGAGCATGCAGGGCACCATGGCCAGACATTCCCTGCAATGCTCTGGGAACTGGTTTTTGGGAATCCCAGAAAGCACAGCTTGGAGGACCAGGGCAGCGTGCCTGTCAAGCCCTTGTGCAGAACAGGYGCAGCTCCAGCTGAATGAGGCCTGCAGATCCCTGCACAGAATCCATGCACAAGAGCCTTTTCCCACACTGACCCAAAAATCTCCTCCCAAGTCCCAGCCARCCCAAGGCAGCTGTCAAACAGCAGAGATGGAATGACTGAGCTGGACCTGGGGACTGAGCATTTTCCTAGGGCACATTTTGGATCAAACTGCAGATCCATGTGCTGCCAAAATCACACTTAATCCCACTAAGGAGCACTGTCTGTGAAGAGGGTGCCAAGATGTGCTGCTTCTGGTCACAGTCAGGGCAGGGTAAATATTTGGATAATATTAATTCATGTGGTAAGAGCAGAACTCCTGCTTATTTCTCTAGTCTTCTGCTAATAATTGTGCTAATAAATTGATGTGTTTTGAAAGCTGAGCCCACTGCCRTGGGCCAGCAGCAGAGCTTTCTTTGCTGCCTCTGGCTCGGCCTGCTGGAGCTGTGGTGCTGCACTGAGCTTCCCACGTGGCTGCCAAGGGATGCCAGCGCCACACAGATGTCACTGGTGCTCAGTGGTGCCTGGCAGGGCACACAGAGGAGCTGGCCTGCTGCAGAGAGCTTTGTGGTGCTGGAGGAAGCAGCAGGCAGAGGTGGGCAGAGGGAATGAGGTGTCCTGCTCACCCAAAGTGGGCACAGCTGGGCTCCCCAGYCCTGCTGCTCCTCTTGGCAGGCTGGGGACAAACATCTCCCTCCTGGTGGGCACTGGGGGAGGATGGGGGGTTCAGTGGGTGTGGGGAGATTTGGGACTGCTGTCAGGGGTCAGCACAATGGAGGGGGTTGAGGYGGGTGTGGATTCCACCCTGGAATGGGGGACACATGGGGGATGAGGAAGGACTCCTGGGAATATGGGACATGTCCCCTGCAGGTCAAGGGCCCAGCTTGGGCTCGGGGGATGCTCCAAGCATTCTCAGGGTGTGAGGAGAGTGCCTGGCCCCCTYCAAGCATGGYTGGTCACCATGGTGTGCTGGGCTGYGATTCAGCACTGTCTGATGCCCCAGGAATGTCCTTCCAGCACAGCCCAACTGTGGGAGCCCAGAGCTTATAGCAGCCTGRGGACCAGGCTGGTAACCCCTGCCCCTGCCATTGCCTCTGCTGCACCCTGAGAGAGCCACGGCAGGAGGGGAAGGAGAGACCTGGCGAGCGTGTCTGGTGTGGGGAGGGCAGGGCAAGGCTCTTTGAGGGCTCTCTGCTCTGCCCTGGTCTGTGCCAGCAGTAGGGCATGTTCCCCAGGTCCCCCTGGCAGCACTAAGGGCCCAGCTGGGAAGCAGATCCCAGAGCAGATCCCAGAGTAGGTCCTGAAGGAGATCCCGGAGCAGGTCACAGAGCAGGTCACAGAGCAGCTCACAAAGGGTGTCCAGCCCAGACAGGGTGTCCAGCCCAGCAGGGACAGTCCTGGCCCGCAGCTCACGGGGGTGTTTCTCCATGGGACAGGATGTGGCTGCTGAGTGGCTCCGTGCCAGGGCAGGGTGAGGAGCCCAGGTCCTGCTGCCCACCAGGTAGGGGCACACCGAGCACAGGACTGAGACTATGCTCCCCCACCACGGAATCCTTTCATAATCTATGAATCTGCTGTTGTCCTGCAGCTGCTCCCTGAGCCAGGCGCTGGCCCAGAGGGTGCTCAGGGCTGTGTGTGAGGGAGGAATGGCTGAGGCACCAACACGAGGGCTCAGAGCAGTGTCCATTGCCTGGGTTGCTCTCAGGCCAGCCTGTCGTGCAGGACCATCCCAGCCTGTCCCACCAGCCAAGCTGGGCTCTGCTGCCATCCTGCTGGGCTAAAGCTGTCAGAATTCCCCAGACAGGAGCCTGATCATCCTCCTCTTAGGCAGTGTCTGTGGGCATGCTGAGCTCCCTGGAGTCCCAAAGCCTGCCTGCACCCCTCAGTCTGGTAGTGTGGGGACACCACCGGCCCCCTGAGGGGCATGGATGCCATCCCCAGGGACAGTGGGCTCTGTGCTCCAGCCTTTCCCTGAYGGGGCTCCGTTTCCAGCTTGGCACGAAGAAGGACCATGTTTTCCTGCCGTCATCCTGCCTGGGGTCTTCGTGGTCCCTGTGCCATTCTCCATGGGACACACACTGCCCCGGCTGTGTCCCCAAGGRTGGGTCTGTCCCCTGCTGCCCCCCTTTCTCCTGGCGTTCCTTACCTGTCACAGCAGTACCGACCCCAGTGCTCCGCAGCCCTGGGGCTGCCTGGCTCCCCTCCTGCTCTGCAGCCCTCCAGAGGGTCAGTGGTCACCTCTCCCCTCTGCCTTGGGGTCCTTCCTGTGGGGTCCTTGGGCAGGGTGGGGGCACCTGGACAGGGAGGGCAGAGGCAAGAGGCCTTTGACCCGCTGGGAGGTGGGAGGGATGGAGGGGTGGATGGATGGACAGGGATGGATGGAGGGATAGSGATGGATGTACAGATGGACAGATKGACAGATGGAGGGGAATGGGAAGCAGTGGCATGTGAGGAATGTGCCCAGAGCACGTGACCCCTTCCTGCTGGGTGCTGGGGCCATTTCTGTGCCCAGACATGGAGGGTGTGAGGGTGACCCAGCCCAGGGCTGGGCTGGGCCAGGAGGGCCAGACAGAGCAGGTGGGGCTGGGGGCAATGGCCACAGTGCCTGGAATGCTGGACACCCATCCCCACAGCCCCTGGGGCGGGCACCCAGCCGCTGCTGGGCTGGGCGTCTCTCGCTGTGTCCGGATGCAGAGGGGACAGGCAGGAAGGGGGTTTGGGAACTGCCTGCATCCCCTGGGGACAGCCTTAGGTAGGGGTGCCAAATGAGCACTGTCTGCTCCACGACTGCCCACAGAACTCATCAGAGCCTGCCTATGCCCACGTCTGACCCTGTGACTGTCTCACCTCCCTGGTGCCAGTGTGTGATAACCAGGGAAACTGAGGCACAGCACAGGAGATGGCAGGAGCAGTGTGTCCCTGCCCCACCCCCTGGCTCGGCCTGTCCCCAGCCCTCCTGGTGCTCCTGCTGTCCCCAGGTACCCCCCCAGCTGCCACGATGTCCAGCAAACGTGCCAAAGCCAAGACCACCAAGAAGCGCCCGCAGCGCGCCACGTCCAATGTGTTCGCCATGTTTGACCAGTCGCAGATCCAGGAGTTCAAGGAGGCTTTCAACATGATTGACCAGAACCGCGATGGCTTCATCGACAAGGAGGACCTGCACGACATGCTGGCGTCCCTCGGTGAGCACACCCTGCCTTTGTGCCCCCGCGGGTCCCTGTGCCCCCAGCGCTGCCCCAGCAGTGGGGAGAGCTGCAGGGTGACCTCATGCCAACACCCAGCGCTGGACACCAGCTATGCTGGGCTGCCTCAAAGCTGGGAGGGATTTCTCTGCTCCACCAGCTGACACACAAGGGGTGTTTGTGAGGCCGGCAGCTCCATGTGCTGCTCACAGCAACGCTCAGCAGAAGGGAAGAGACCCTTGGGGCTGAAGAAGCTCTGCCCTRGGAGCAGCAACCAGCTGCAGCCATGGAGTGTTGGAGTAGCCTCACCCAGAACGTGGMCTGGGGCTGTCCCCTGGGGAGAAAAGCCTTCCCATTGCCCTCAGCCAGGGTGACAAGGGCTGGTCCCTGTGCAAGTGTGACACCCGGGCTGGTTGGGACTTGCAGGTCCCCACTCTCTGCCCCAAGCCATTCTCCTTTGCTGCAGACATGACTCCCTCCTCCCACTCCCAGGCTGCCTCCACTGCACTTTGGGAGGTCTGTCAATGATTGACCTGGCAGCCAAACCTGTTCTGGAGGTGCTGCCTGACAGTGAGAGGGATCTCCCTCCTCCCGTGAGCCGGAGCCCTGGGAGGAGAGAGGGGCCAGTGCTGGGGGCACGGACCTCAGCAGAGCAGCCAAACCACCCCTGGTGCACCTGTGGTGGCAGCAGCGCTGGGGGTGGTGTGGGGACATTGCTGCGCCTCTTCTGGGAGCTGCCAGGGGAATGGTAAATACCGTGGGTTTCATCCCCATAACCCCCAAATTAATCACAGCACCTCCCCCAAGGCAGAGCTTGTTCTCAGGGGTGAATTAAAGCACCGGGAGAGATGCTGAGAGGGAGCATCTGCAGAAACTGCCTTCCCATGTTGGTGGGGTGAGTGAGCAAGAGCCAGCAAATCAATTCACAATGGACAAAAGCCCTTGCAGCTGYTCACATGGGCTGAACAGGGGATGGGAGCTGGGGGAGCAGGGCCCTGCATCCAACCCCTCCTGTGTCCCCAGGGAAGAACCCCACTGATGAGTACCTGGAGGGGATGATGAGTGAGGCGCCGGGGCCCATCAACTTTACCATGTTCCTCACCATGTTTGGGGAGAAGCTGAATGGCACCGACCCCGAGGACGTGATCCGGAACGCCTTCGCTTGCTTTGAYGAGGAGGCCTCAGGTAGGAGGAGCCCCTCTGCTGTGTGGGCAGGGTGAGGGCTGGGCCGGCCCTTGGGGACCATACCTGAGCAGCTCCGGAGCAGGATGTGTTTGGGAGGGGGGGGAAGGTGCCACRCTCGGCTCTCCCGGTGCCCCTGCCAACGCCATGCCCTGCTCTCCTGAAGGCTTCATCCACGAGGACCACCTGCGAGAGCTGCTGACCACCATGGGGGACAGGTTCACCGACGAGGAGGTGGATGAGATGTATCGGGAGGCACCCATCGACAAAAAGGGCAACTTCAACTACGTGGAGTTCACCCGCATCCTGAAGCACGGCGCCAAGGACAAGGACGATTAGAGCCCAGGGCCTCTCACCCCTTCTGCCTCATCCCGTGCACACGCCCTGCCCCTCGGGCTCCCTTGCTGCCCCACAGCAGATTCCTCCCCTGGGAAACACCTCCCAGGACCATCACCCTGCGTCAGGACACGCTTGGAGGGGACACACTCCTGTCACTTTGCTGCCCCTTGTCCGTCCGGCCCTCCCCTCTCCCACCACAGACTCACCCCCTGGGACCTCCAGCCTGGCTGTGACCATCCCCAGCAGCCACTGACTCCATCAAAGCCGCCATGCCACTGGTCCCAGGGCCGGGGTGAGCATCCCCCGCTGGTCTGCAGGGAATTTGGGCTGGCTCRAGCCTGAGCAAGCCCCATTCGAGTTTGTCACACAGAGGAAAGACATCTCTTCCTGTCCTGCCACACCGCCCTCCTTCAGAAAAGAACCTCCACTTTGTCCCTCCTCCCTGGCTGTTCTATGGCTTTAGAGCCTGAGATCTGAGGGATTGGGGAAGCTGAGGGGTGTATAAAGCCTCAGAGCCTCAAAGGGGTGTGACAGATGTGTGCTGTGTGTGGCTACCTCGTGCCTGGTACCGTGCTGTGCCTGGGCTTTGGGAAGGTGGGCACTGTGCCTCCCCACYCTGCTGCCCTTGCCAGCCAGGGCCCTTCCAATGGGGCTGCCTGTTTCTGAAGCCAAATAGCTCCCAATCTGTGTAAAATCAGCTTGAGCATCATTTTCTGCCTTAGCTAGGGGCTGAGGGTCGCTCTGCTTGGCCCCCATGTCAGGATGGGCTGAGAGACACCTGGCAAGATGTCAGCCTTGGTTGCCCCATTAGCTGATCCCAGGGGCTTGGCCACCCTTCTGTGTCAYCCTGGGAGTAGGGGGGTGAGAAATGGGGAGGGGGTTTGTCCCCGTGGTTTGGTGGTTTGTTTTTTTATCACCCTCCTGACATGGATGTGGGGGCATCGGGTGGTGCCACACCCAAACCTGTGGTCTTGAAATGCTGCTTGCAGCCAAGCCCACCTGCCTGCCCTGGAGGGAGGGGTGAGTTTCCAGCAATTCTTTGTTTAAAATGGAGGGACAAACCTACAAAATATGGTGAGGGCACAGCACATGGCAGAGATGCTCCCAGCATTGGGAAGGCTTCTGTAGGATCTGTGGGAGCTCCAGAAGTGTCAGAGATCTGCCAGGCTCCAGGTGACACTCTCTCACCTGRGAGATGATCCATGAATGGAAAACTTCTCCCTGGTCTCAGTGCTTCCATTTTGCAGGCACCACCAACACCAGGAAAAGGGAGCTGAACTGTCAGGGGTGAAGCACTGGCCCTGTGAGCGCCAGGGAGCCCCGCAGGCTCAGGGCTTGTGCTCTGCAGTAGCAGCCCCAAGCCAGCCCCCTCCAGCCTCACAGGTACCGAGCTCCTTCCCTAATGCCCTCCTTCCCTGGTGCCAGGGAAAACCTATACTTCTCCCACTTTCAGAGGGAATTCCTAGGCCTGAGGCTGCTGGAGGACAAGATCTTTTGTAAAATCTCCCTCATGGGGACACCCAGCAGAGTGAACACCCCACAGACATCCCTTTGGGGCAGAGGAGCTGATGCTGGAGCTGTGGGCAGACCATGTCCTGGGGCAGCTGCATCCAGGAGGGGTGTTCAGCCCCSTGACCCCAAGGGATCAGCTGGTGTGACCAGCCCAGATCTTTGCAGTGCCGCAGCTGGGATGGGGTCAGTGCTGGTCCTGCCTGGGGGCTGCCACGGGCTACAGCATGGGGCTTTTGGAGTAGCTGCCTCAAGAAGCTGCCAGAACTGCTCTGTCTGAGCTGGCCCTTCCCTGTGGGCTGTGTAGGCATTGTGGGACTTCAACCCTGAGGCAGCAAAATGGAACAAATCTGTCAATTGGACAGTGGGGTACATCTGAGACCAGTAAATAAAMTTGTTCCACTGGCACAGGGTGCCCAGAGCAGCTGTGGCTGCCCCATCCCTGGAAGTGTCCAAGGCCAGGCTGGATACTGGGGCTTGGAGCAGCCTGGGACAGTGGAAGGTGTCCCTGCCCATGGCAGAGGTGTGATGAGATGAGATGAGATGGATGGGATGGGATGGGATGGGATGGGATGGGATGGGATGGGATGGGATGGGATGGGCTTTAAGGTCCCCTCCAACCCAAAATATTCTGGGATTTGATGAGTCTGTGAAACCCAAAATGCTATGGGTTCATATGAACCTCATGAAGTTCAATCAGGCTAAATGCAAGGTCCTGCAGCTGGCTCAGGGCAGCCSCAGCACAAGCTGGGGAAGGCAGGGAGAAGGACTTGGGGCTGCTGGGGGTGACAAATGGGATGTGACCTGGCCATGGGCACTGGCAGCCCAGAAAATCAACTGTGCTTGGGGTGCAGCAGAGGCAGCAGACGCAGCCTGACCTGAGTCATCGCAAACGTGTTAAACAGCAGCAAAATGGAACAMAGGCATTCATTTCAAACCTGCTTGGGGCAGGGGGACACCAAGTCAGGCAAATAACTCCCTTTTGGTCAATCTGGAAGAGCTGCTCACAGTGCACAAGTGTCTCCTGAGCTCAGAGGGCCCCTCCTGTGTGTCAATTTGTGCTCTTGGGGCCTGGGATTGTCCCTGGGCACTGCTGAGCAGAGCCTGGCCCTGTCCCCTCTGTACCCTCCCCCTGAGGTATTTATCCACAGGGATGAGATGTCCTGAGCCTGCTCTCCTCCAGGCTGGGCAGTGCCAGCTCTCTCAGCCTCTCCTCATGGCAGAGATGCTCCAGTCCCTCCATCACCTTCMTGGCCCTGTGCTGGACTCTCTCCAGTCTGTCCCTGTCTCCTGGATGGGCAGCCCAGCTCTGGGCCCAGTCTGTGGCAGAGCTACCAGTGCAGCCCTGGAGGGTTTGCTTTTTTCCAGCGCTTGGAGCTCCATCCTAATGTCCTCCTGGCTCCTATTGCCATGTCCAGAGCTGCAGGCTGGAGGAACATCAGAGAGGAAAAGGGTACAGCAGTGCCTGCTGAGAGAGGGTCTGTCCTGCCCTACGGCCTCCAGGAAGGAAACAGGAGCAGTAGGGAACGGGCAGGAGGTGATGGAGGGGCTGCAGTGCCCAAGAGAGGGGCTCAGTGCAGGATCCCAGCTTGAAGGACTGGTCCTACTGGGGGAATCCCAGACTGCAGCAGGTCCAAGGACCCTGAGCAGGGAGCAGGACCTGCTGCTGGAGCAGCRGCCTGAAGGGCAGGGTGGCAGCAAACAGCTGGCACAGCCAACCAGGAGCCCAATTTTCTTTGCTGAAAATGCAGATTAAATATCAGAGGTGGGCAAAGGATGGAGAGAGTCCTRTCTGGAAAAGGTTAATACCCTGGGAGGTTGTCTTGGGGTTCCAAGCATCCCCCTGGGAGTTCCAGCTTGCCCTGGGTTTCCAGCATCTCCGGGGTTCCCAGAATCCCCCTGGGTTTCAAGCATTCCCCCTCAGGCTCTTGCTGGCCAATTGTTGTTCAAATTGCTGAAGTTTAATAGTATTATCATGTCAATAGGCCTGGGCAGGGCTCAGCCTGGACAAGCCCGGAGTGGGAAGGGCAGCGAGAAGCATCAGAGCCCCTTCCCTGGCCTCTCACCCCAGAGGCTCCTCATTCCCCATCCCTGGGAGCTCCCTGGCCCCTGTGCCCGGCTGTGCTTGCCCAGGGATTTGGGTTCCCCCCACGCTGTGCTCAGGGGATTTCTCCAAAACTGCTTCCACACTGCCAGTGCAGGGAGCCAAGGCGGGTAGGGGGCTTGCGGGGGCTGGGTCATGGCCCAGCCCCGGGCAGGTGTTGGAGCCCAGGGACCATTTCCCATTTGTCTCAATCCGGCAGACGACCGCAACAGCCTTCTGCAAGAGGTCGGAGYGAAGTAAACTGTTCAGGGGACAGGCCTGCTTGGGCACTGGCACAGACCCTGGGCAGCATCTGGAGGGTGTCAGGGCAGGTCTGGGGTGTCACCCGCCAGGAGTGGGCTGCAGAGGGAGCAGGCAGGGGCCAGGAGCCAGAGAGCTGGAGGGCCAGGGGTGCTCCCTGCCCTGGAGTGACCTTGCAGAGCGGGGGATGTGCTGCTAGAGCTCCCCACACCCCATCTGTGCTTTCCCAGGCCCCGCTGCCTCCCCAACAGCAGGGTGGGGCARTTCCACTCAGTCATGGAAGACTGAGAGGCCACAAACCAGATGCTTTAAGGAATTTTCCTTTTTCTTTTGCTATTTAATCCCTTATTGCACGACACAATCTGATTTTCCCAGACCAAAAATAACCATAAAAGTTTTTTTCCAGGTTTTTTAATACATGAATGGRTTTCTCACCTTTTACCCTGCGAGCAGCAAAGTGGGGAGGGAGAGGAGCTGCAGCACAGTGTGCAGAGCTGGTGGAGCCTGGGACGGGGGAGCTGCCCCTTGAGTGACATCGAGCCAGGTCTGCGTGGGGAGAGGTGGAGCAGGAACCGGAGAGCCTCGGGGTGCTGTGCCCCAGCAGCACACAGCTCCCTGGGGGGACGAAACACACACGTGTGCTGGGCTTGGCAGGGGTGAGCGTGGCTGTGCCCAAGAGGGGGGATGGACAYGCCGAAAAGGATGTGCCACAAAGGACATCGCTAAGCCAGGGTCCCTCTGTGGGCAGGACTGTGGGCTGGCTGCAGGACAGGCTGCCTTGGCTTCCCATGGTGGCACCTTCTCCATCGCAGGGATGTGGCACCACTGCTCAGAGCAGCTCTTCTCTCTTCTCACTGATGGAGAYCCTGTTCCAGGGGACCCATGATGGACACATCCCCTCGGGCTCCTCTGAGCACCTGGCCGAGGGTGACGGTGCAACCAGCCCCACATCACAAAGGGGCAGAGCTGGTGGTGAGGAAATCCCATGGGAGCCACATCCTGGACCAGCAGCATGTAAACAGAACAATTTGGTCTCCAAAACTCAAAGGTGACTTTGGGCTTGGCTGTGGTGGTGGAGGGGCACAGGGAGAGCAGAAGGGCTTCAGAGACCTTGCCCAGCCTGATGGCCATGGCACAGCGAGCGTCCCGCCTGGTTCCTCCTGGGTCACCACCCTTGCTTGGAAACACCTCCCTCTGCCACGGGAGCAGTGATGTGCTGGGCTTCTGATTTCGCAGCTGGTAAGGATCAAACGCAGCACTGATGGAACTTCAGGGTGCTCTGCGATCCCCAAGCTTGTCACCCACACCGTCCTCTGCAGCTCCTGCCCAAGGCCTGTCCCTGTCCCCTGCCCGCAGACACCAGTAACCCCTAGTGATCAGCTACAGGATTCAGCCAGGGGTAAGGAGCTTGTGCAGTGCCTTGTGGGGCACCCCTGCATGGACATCCCTGGGTGGGAGTCCAGRGGCGGGTGTCCCTGGGCGAGTGTCCCAGGTGGGTGTCTCTGGGGGTGTCCTCAGGTGGGTGTCCCGGGGCTTGGATGTCCCGATGTGGGTGCCCGTGGCTGGGTGTCCCCGCGGGTGCCCCTGTGCGGGTGCCCCCCGCGGAGCCGGGCGGGTGCGGGGGCTCCCTCCGTCCCTGCCTCTTTCCGCCGGGGGCCGTGTCCGGGAGCGGGGCCGAGCCCCATCCTCACTGCGGGGCCGCTCGGCCGGGTGTGCGCCGGCGCCAGGTACCGGCCGGGGGGACTCGGCGGGGCGGG